CTTGCCTCTTCTGGGTATATGCCCAGTAGGGGGATTTCTGGGTTGTATGATAACCCAATTTCCATCTGTTTTGGATATCACCAGATCAATTTCCATAGTGGCTGTATATGCTTACAGGTCCACCAGCAGTGGATGAGAGTTCCTGTCCCCCCACAGCCCTTCTAATACTTGTTGCTTTCTGATTTTTTTTGAAATGAAATGCCTTTGAGGGTGTTACGTGGTACCTCATTGTTGTTTTAATTTGAATTTCTCTTATGGCTAAAGATCGGGAACATTTTCTCATATGTTCATTGGTTGTTCAGATTTCTGCCTCTGTGAAATTTCTGTTCAGGTCCTTTGCCCACCTCCTCAGAGGGCAATCATTTTTTTTTTCTTTTTGTAAGTTTGCAGAGTATTGTAGATTTTAGTAATAAGGCTTTTGTCTAATTTGTCATTGCTAAAGATGTTTTCCAAGTCGGTGGACTCTCTTATTACTCTCTTGGTGAATTCCTTCAATGTACACAGGTGTTTTATCTTCACTATATCCCATCTGTCAATATGTTCATTCTCTGTGTTTATGTCCTTCCCTATTTCTGATAGCCTATGTAGTCCCTGTGCCAAAGTTCTCAAGTTGGTTCCAATTCCCTCATTGATGGCCCTACTAGTTTAGGGTTTAACTTAAAGGTCTGTGATCCACCTTGAGTTTATTCTTGTGCATGGAGCGAGATAAGGATCCTGCTTCATTTTTCTGCAGGTAAATATCCATTTTATATACCAATCAAACTTCAGAAAATAAACATTTTCAAGTAAGTGAAAATAAACACACACATACATATAAACTTATTGTTGCAGATAAAATTAGCATTATAATAACTATCATATAAATATCAAAACAAAACCATGAACTGAAAGTACATTCATGTTTAAGGGTGAACCAAATTTTCATTTCAAAGCTTTAGTAAAGAATGGTGAATTACACTGTCAGAAAATTTGAAAGATGATAGAGCATAAATAAATAAACTTAATACCCAATACTTGGGGGAATATTGATAGAGCTAAAAATAATTGAAAGTATAATATATAAATTCACCCTACAAAAAGGAAAGTGAAAATATAAACATTTGACATAAAAATAGTAAAGTGATTTTACTTTTTTTTAAAACTTATATCTTTTAAGATTTTGTACTTTGCAACCCAAGAGCAATGAGTATGTTTTTGATTGTAAAAAACAAAAAAGTAAAAGTTTAACAAAAATTCTTAGTTTAAATCTCAAATAAATGGCAAACCTTTAGTTTGAATCCATTTTTCTTGGATCTATTATTCTTCCACTT